ATCAGGAATATTTTAAATATTGAAGTTAAAACGATGGATATATTTGATTTCCCATTTATAACAGCAAATCTACATGTATTTTATTTATAAAAATGTTAAATAAAAACGGGCTGAGGTGGGAATCCTGAGGTAATATTTTAATTTGGCTAGATATTTTTGTAAAATGTTATTCCTAGTTTGTAGCTCGTCTATGTTAGTGTTGGCTATTAAGCCGCTATAACTTAGTCTTAGATAACCTAAAAATAGTAAAACAGCATTCTCAAAACTCTTTGTTTTTCAAATTTATTATTTAAATGAAAACAGGTGATTTCTGTTATTAGTAATAAAGACAGTATCAAGTCTTAGTTTTTATCTCGCTAGAGCGCGCTAAAATTAAAAGTATCGGAATGAACAATCATATTTTTAAATCCCCATAAAATTACCTTTTCACTGGTACATTTCCTATTTAAAATTAAGGAGTTGGAGAAGTGGAAGGTAGGGGGTTGACACATGACAGTTTTAGCATTTTCTTAAAATGTAATTAATAATGCCAAATAACAAGGTAAAACTGTTTTGAGTGGCCCACTCTGTATATCGAAAATGGCTAGATATACCGAATCAGTTCATTGAACAAAATCTACTTAAAAATGCATTTTTTACAAGATGCACTACATAAGAAACATCCTAAAAAAATATATTGAACGCAGCGCCATCTACATAATGACCTATTTAAAATTAATTTCTATCTAAATCTGAAGCTCTCTTAGTGCTCTGTAAACTGACATTCACAGAATTAAAATATCTCTATTTTTTACCAAAATATCCGACCTGGGTGTTTTTTTGGAACACCCTATACAGTTTTATTAAAATTTATGTTTTTTTTTTTGTAAATATAGGCGAAATAAAAATAGAAATGCTATTATTTATCGATTCTACATGCATATTTAATCTCAATAACTAAAAAATAACAAATAATTATGAAAGAATTGTCACCTATTTAAATTTTTTTTAAATAATAGTAGCCGGGTGACCAAAATATGAACTGCGATTGGTAGATTTTAATTTTTTGCAGTGTTCTTACTAGGTAGAATGGATATGAAATATATTCGTTCAATTGAACGCAATGGCATAATTTTTTGTTTTGTAATGTGGGTGTAAACAAAGTAATTAATGTTCTAAATATCCATAGCGCTCATTTGCTGCAAGAACGTCATAACTCAAAAATTGTAATGTCTGAGTTATTGGCACATTAAAGATCGTAAAGCCCTATTATCTGGTAAAGTGTCACATCAGAACTTTTTATAAAAGCCTTAAATGGTATCTAAAAGTCGGTTCCAAAGGTTTTCTTCTCATCTCAATGCTATAATTTCAATATCGTCATATTTTATTTGCTGGTAACTGTAAAAGCGTTTCTCAGATATCTAAAACAGTGTTTTATTTTGTATTATGACTATACTTTTGCTATTATGCCTTACTTAATTAGGTCACATTATTTTATTTTATTACTCTAAAGTTAAAATATCATGTTTGTGTTATGCAGTAAATAAGCGATATATAGAGCAAACCGGACACCTCTAAAATTTATCTTTAGTGCGATTTTTGTGAAATTTTCAGAAAATACCAATAATAACAAAACTTAGGGTGAAAAGCCTTGAATTTTTTGTAAACCTTCACAAAGTATTTATTTTAAATTTTTTAAAAAGGATTAAAAAAACATTTACGCGCCATTCTGTATTAAATCTATAAATATTTACTGCTTTTTGTTTTAATAAATATCAATAGTTTTTAAATGGAATGCTTTCCCACCTTTTTTTCTTAAACGTCTCTGTAGAGTGCTACCTTTTCGTTGCACAAATTTAAAGCTCTTAATATTGTCAAAACACATATCACGAAGTATTCCTAATGGCAAGCATATAAATACAATTTTATATTAGAAAATCCTTAAAACATTTTTGTTTTCGCGAGAGGTCCGGTTTCCTCTTAACATAACTTATCATATATGACAGTCGCGTGTAGGTCATTGGCAACTTTGTATTATCAATATTTTATTTATTGATTTTTTAGTTTCTGAATCAAAAAACAGAACCAAATGTTTTGATTATTTAAGTTTAAAATTATGCTGAAACGAAAGTTAATAAGTTGATTGGCAATCAATTATTTTTCATCTTTGAAACTGTAATATAATTGTGTGTCATCAGCGTAGGCTTAGACCTTGCAATTTTTTATGGACTAAATAATGCAGGAATTATAGATTTAGTAAAAGAGCGGTCCCAGGACGCTGTATTGAAAAGTACATTGGAAAAACCCCTCGCGTCGGTCCTGCTGACTTAAGAAGCCCATTTTTCCAACTTGAGTCAAGTCAAACGGTTGACTTGACCGATTTACTCTAATTTTTGTTGTTCTATGAGTAACCGTTTGTTCGATTGTAATGTATTATTAATGGAGACTATATGGAGTGTTGCAAAACGTTCAGCGGCGGTTTTAATTTGAAGAAAAAATTCGCGAGCGATTTAATTTACGAGCGGCCAGGTCGCGCGCAAAAAGCTGCTTCCTACTCAGATTGTATTAGGTATTCGTGTTTTATGTTACGAAATGCGGGACATTTAAATGCTGAAGTTACACAAGTTGGCTGTGTTTGATCTTGGACTTGAACATTTATTGTTAAAGGGTTTTAAATAGATATATTAAAATAACATTTTAAGGTTACATAAAAAGAGGGGTACTTTTTCTCTTTTGCCGATATATTTAAGTTCAAATTAATGATTTTCGTCTTGAATTATACAGGGTGAGACACCGAAAACGAAACAGATCGCATATCTTAAAGACACATTTTTTTGGAGAAAATGCAAAAAGACGTTGATTTTTATTTGAAAGGGGACATCTTTCGATCATATCCTCAACTATCCTACATCCCTTTCCACCCCTCTGTCACTATTACCGATGAAATTGAAATAGGGAAAGTACTAAGTGTGACACATCATTGAAAAGGTAATTTTATAAGGAATTTGACTGTGTGACAGTTTATTACGTAACTTTTGATTTTGGCGCCGTATTTTAAATAATGATACTTCATTTGAAAGTAAAACTCATTTAATAGACAATTCATAATAAAAATTAAAAAAATAATAGAAAAGTGAACATAAAAATTAAATTGAAAATACTTGAAGAGCTTGTTCATTTTATGATTTTTGTTTGAATTTTCTTATATCTAAATTTTCATGAAATTCATATGGGCTCTCGTTAGGAGCTTGCCTTAAATTATTTAAATCTAAAGATAAGCAATTTTCATTTCGGGGATCACTAAAATTCATAATCAACTCTTCCTTAATTTCTTTAATTTTAGTAGCCCCACTAATATTAATTACTTCGCGAGCGGGTCCATGCAATTTACTTATAATTGTTCTAAATATCATAATATTTTGATAGTTTCCAATATTTACGTTATCATAAAACTGGTTAACTATGCTATCAATACTTTCTAGAAAAAATTGTAACTCTTATTCGTCGCCATAAAAATCAGGAATGGTCTCCGCGTGAACCTTTTAAACGTTAGGGGGAGGAGTCATTGTTTGATTTAAGATATGTGTCACGTTATTAAAATTATTTAGATATTAATTGAATTAAAACTTTCAATTACTAAATCTAGCTCTAAATCGGATCCGTGATTACTGAAGGATAGGGAATCGATGTTAGACGAGTCTGACATAAAAGAAGGTAGGTAGGTGTTTATGAATTAATTGGTACTATACATTTCTACAAGAATTGTAGGTACTAAGGACTATGGACTAGGGACTCTTAAAATCACAATATACTACTTAAATATTCAGCCGCCACTTATGGAATACATTTAAATTCCCTTGGGAGTGAAAATCTATCTCTCTCGGCTTTAGTTTCTCGGTATGTCTGTCCTCTTTTGTTATTATTTCTACTTTTTGCTATAGGATAATATTTCAGCTATTGTTGTTGTTTATTCCACCTTGAACATAGGCGGGTAAAATAAAAATTAAAAGACAGTTTTGCAATAAAAAAATGAATTTATCAAATATAAGCGGTACCCAAATATCTTATTGAATGTGAAATTAAAATAGTGGGGGTTACTAAATATTGGGTGGCTTAACTTTTTAAACATTTTTCGTTTGTTTTATTAGTGAGCCATATTTTTTGTGTGACAAAGATGCATTATCAGTTTGGGTAAAGTCATTGAATAATCTCCAAGATTCTGCCGTTCTCCTCCACAAAAAAAAACAATTATTATTTTGCATCTTTTAGTTACCTACTTTTTATACATTAATTCTATTCTGCGGTCCTTTTTAGCACCAAATAGACCAACAGATAGTGTCCGATTTAGGTGCCCCACTTTCTCATACAATCCTCGAAGATGGTTGAAAAGTACATCGATGTTAAGTAGAATAAAATAAAATTTACGAGTAGCTCTTGGGGATAACACATGGAAAATTCAATTACATTCGATGGTCTTGTGTGGAAAAATCGGGTAAAATATCGATTTTTCCTTTACGCCCCTATGTCAACCCTTTAGCCACTTGCAACATTAAAGCCTTTGGTTTTCCGAAGCCTATTAATTAATCATATAGTGAAAACGGCTTGCGTGGAAAAATGGGCAACAAATAACCTTTCGTTTTAAAATCGACGTACTTTTCAGCCCTCTTCGAGGCATGTACGCGAAAATGGGGCACCTAAACTTGTCACTATCTGACCTATCTGACGGACTAAAAGATAAATATTGAAATAGAGAAGTCACGTAGTAGAGGACCAGCTGGCCTGCTTTTAGCCCTCCAAAGATAAATTCAAAGAATATACGTTTTTGTCTAATTTGATACGTTTCAGCAAATTATGTTTTACATTGCTCTACAATAATGGCGTTTTTCTGGACAAATACAGAATTTTGCTGGTCAAATACAGCGTTTTGCTGTACATTTGCTGTACAAAATCAAATGCTGACCAGACTTTGAAAATGTTGGTCACCATAGTCTAATCCCTTTTTAAAATAAAACTGAAATAGACCATAAAAATAATATATTACTTATAAAAATATACAAAAATAAATAAATTGTTGCTCATCTTCGTCAATTTCTTAAAACCCTAATGATGAATTCCAATGGCGACTGGATGATGTACGACGGCAGCGTGGGATATGGCAGGAGCGTGCGCGATAGCGATTGGTGCGTGGTGTACTGCTACAGGGTGAGCTATAATTGGGGCGTGAACTGCGTGTACTGCAACTGCTTTGTGTGCTACGACGGGTACTGGATGTATTGCGAGAGAGTTACTGTTTTGGTGTGAAGTAGCTCCATGAGATACTATGACTGCTGGTTTGTGGTCCAGGATCAAGCCAGCGTTGACGGTGTAGATAATAGTGGCAAGTACCAACTGAAAATGAAATCAAAAATTTAATATATAAAAGTCAATGATTGGATAAAATCTAAAAATCAATACCATATCAATTTTTTATCAAGTACGATCCACACGGATGCTTGACCTAATTCTAATTTCAAAAAATGATATTTGGTCTTCTATCTAGATATATATGTAGAAGTGGAGTAGCGTGGCGTTATTACAAGGGGATGTAATAAGTAACTTAATAAAAATAATCAAGTTTTTTTAGTCTTTAATTTTGAACTTACAAATAAAGAGAAAAAAATGTGGTAGATTAAAAAAATATTTAAAATAATAAAAATCAAAAGTGAACTAAATTAGGATATGTAAAAAAATAAAAATGTGAACGAATCTGTTAAATTTTAACTTTTAAAATAAGATCAGTCCTTCATAGAACTAAAGAATGATTGCCAAATTCCATTCACACTCAGAATCGGTCATAGAGATTACGATGCTCGCATTCGCTTATTAATAACACGAACGAGATGCGTTTAAGAAATCGCATCATTCACCAGTGAAAACAGCGGACTGGAGCTGTATCATAGCCGGAAAGGCCGATGACCTCGGTTCGCCATAGGCCATAGGCATATCCTGTTTAATTTGGGTACAAAAACCTCGGGCGAGGAGACATATCGTATTCCTAGGACCTGTTATTGGACTGGAAGGACTATCCTCCGATACCGAAATATTCAGTAGAAGTTGAGTTTCTGACACAAACCTTAAACAACACGTTTGAAAAAACTGCCCAATAAAAATAAGGAAAGAGGACCGAGATGCTGTATGGTAGAATCGAGACCTTTCCAAAAATAGATCAGAAGTTCGTAGACTCTTTGACCTGTCCAAAAGGTCGGGGAACTGGGAAGCCTATAATGCGTACCGGAGAGAATATGGGTATGCCATTGGGAAAGCCAAAGAAAATTCCTGGAAGAAATTCTGTGACGGCATTGAAAGCCTTCCAGAATGTTCCAAACTCAGGAAAACTCTACAGAGAGATAAGCAAGGATGCATGGGATCTCTGAAAAATCAATAAGGAAAACTCACAAAAACAGAGGAGGAGACTTTAGATTTACTACTGAAGTCACACTTTCCTGGATTTGAGATTATTCTTGACCAAGAGAACAGGAGTATCTAGGCACTAATTTCTAGGGCCTCAAAAACAAATTGGTTTCTTGCAAACTCAATAGTAAACAGAACAAAGCTTGTGTGGGCGATAAATTCCTTTTATCCATACAAAATAACTGGACCTGATGGTTTAATCCCTACACTTCTACAAAAGGGTCAGAAAGTACTGGAGGGACTACTGTGTAAACTATTCCGAGCTAGCAGAGCTCTCGGATATGTTCCATAAAGCTGGAGTTATGCAGGAGTTATCTTCATTCACAAACCCGGGAAAGCGCCTTACGAGGAGATCAAATCTTTCAGACTAATCAGCCTCCTAAAAACATTGGAGAAATTGATCGATAGGATATATACGGAACGATGTTCTACGGGATGTCGATGCCAGTTTGCCTACCAATCTAGAAAGTCTTACGATGCAACCATACGTAGGCTAGCTCAACAGACTGAACAAACACTGGAAGACAAATAAATAGCGCTAGGAGTTTTCCTAGATATAGAAGGAGCCTTTGATTCGGCTTCATACAATTCAATACTGGGGTCTATGCACAGGCGTGGCGTAGCCCACTGCATTACGACGTGGGTTGAGTTCATATCTAATCATAGAACCATTACCAGTACCACAACAAGAAAGGTCTCAGTTAACAAGGAATTCCCGCAGGGAGGAGTTTTATCTCATCTTATGTGGACCTTGGGGGTTAATGACTTCTTATGGGAGTTAAAGAGAGAAAACTTATACACGCAAGCATTTGCATACGACATAAGCATCGTAGTAAACGGTATTTGGTGTTGTATCCGAAAGGATGCAGCATGGTGCCTTGAAGAGGAATTGTCCTCAAACTCGACAAAAACCTTTGTTATTGCATTCACAAGAAAAAGGAACATTCAAGAAATGAAGGAGCTTTATATGTAGAGACAACAACTAAAAATGGCAAAAGAGGTTAAACATCTTGGAATCACTCTTGATGACAAGCGTAGCTTCTGCAGCCACGTAGAAAAAACAATTAAAAAAGCTGTAAGAATACTATGGGCCTGTAGACGAATGGTAGGGAACACATGGAGGCTTAAACCAAGTATGATGCACTGGCTTTATACTATGGTTCTTATACCTGTTATAACTTACTCACCAGTCATATGGTGAAACAAGACTAAAAGCATAACAGCTAACAGAAAATTAGACAAGGTACAAAGACTAGACTGTCTAATAATAACAGAGGCATTTAGAACCACGCAATTGAGCTACTGCTAGGTCTTCCTTCAATACACCTTGTGGTGGAGAAGGAGGCTATGGCGGCGGCATACAGGCTGTTTACTAATAGATTTGGATGGGAACTTTCGAGAAAAGTACGCTACACAATATTAGAGAAATTAAAACAAAATCCGGTATTAAAAATGCCCATCGGATAGAACTTCCATTATTCATTACTTCAGGAAACTTTTCGATATTCAAATACCAGAAAAGGCCAAAAGCCGGGACAATAGGGAAAAATAAAACGAATCAATCTGGTATACAGACGGTTCGAAAATAAAAAACAGCAGAGGAGCTGGACTTTACCATCTAAACTCAGGGAGGACCATTAGTCTGAACCTGGGGTCACTGATAACAGTCTTCCAGGCTGAAGTAACAGCAATAAATGCCTGCGCCAAAGATATGCTAAATGACTCTTTTAAAGATAAGAGGGTCTTTATCAAGACAGACAGACAGTCAGTCAGCCCTTACAGCACTGAAAAGAGTAGAAGTACAATCTAAATAAATACTTGCCAACAGTCCCTCCAGGCCCTGGCAGAATATAACAAGGTCGCCCTTGAATGGGTTCAGGGACATAAAGGAGTGTTTGAAAATGAGAAATTAGACCTCCTAGTAAGGAAGAGAGTAGAAAAACTCTAATTGGACCAGAACCACATGTGGTATTTCATACCAACATATTAAATGGGTGTTAATGAAACAAATAAATAGAGAACACCATAGGCTCTGGTTGGAACTTCCTGGACGTAGATAGTCCTAAAGATTCATAGAGGGTCCATCCAAGAGCAGACAAAATTAACTGCTAAACAATAGCAGAAGCGAACTCAAGGCCGTAATAGGAGTCTTTACGGGACACTGCGGCCTTAGAAGACACCTAAATCTCTTAGGGATATCTATTCACATGCTATGCCACTATCGGAACCTTAAATGGGGACGGGAATGGTACTTTGGGGTACAATATCCGGAACCTGAAGAAATCGCGGAAGCGCTTATCAGACATATTCTTGAATTCATCGAGAAAATTAATCTGTTGGGGTAAAAACTGTGAGAGGTACAATAAGCCTAAAGACAGTACGAGTAGGCCTTGAACCATGCCCTAATTCAGATAGAAAGATAGATGTAATGAGAAACATCGCATCTCGCATTATAGGGTGATCGAAATGATTATATTTGTAGCATAGTGGCGTAGTGTATAAAGTTCGACAAATACCCATATAAATAATTAAAATATAAGGTGTAAAAAAGCATATTCTTTATGACTGCCCCTTCTTTGCAACTATTCATATTTTTGTACTAGTAACATTAATAACGTTTACATCAGAAACAGAAACTAAAAGTTACATTTGACACTTATTAGAGTTGTTTAATGTTCAAAAGTTTTCTCTAGACAAGAGTTTGAACAATTTCTTATTAATTATCATATAAATATCTTGGAAATGTAACTAAAATATACAAAAATACTAGAAATATTAATTAATTTTAATTATTTCAAATACCATTGGTAAAAAATGGTCAGTATTATTGTTTTATTTTTTTGCTTAGAGTAGACCGCTAATTGGACACATTTATTATTTTTTAAAGTTTACTTCATTTTGTATCCATAACTATATAATTTAATTTTGACACGTAACTTAAAACTATATCCTAAGGAATACATCACAGATAGTAAATATTTTTTATTTCTGCTGTTTTGCTTTGGATATAGTTCAATGCCTGTTGTGGTATTATCCAAAGGAATGGTTGTTTTCCTGATGGAAACGGACGTTCGTATTCATGTGACATTGGCTTTGAATTATTTTTATTTTATTTTAAATGAAGTAATGGAGATGTTTAAAATTATTAAATTAATAATAATGATTAAAGTTGATATCTTTTCTAGATCAGTTATTTACTATAATTGCCAGGTATAACTAGCTATTCGAAATAACTTTTAATTCTACATAAATTTAAAAAAAAAAATAAATTATTGTCGTAGATGAATTACCAAACCAAAAGCATACCCAGAAATGCGATCCCCTGGAGCCCGGCAGCTACCCCTTATTTTTTAAAATAAGTATAGTCAAATAACTCATTTAAAAGGTAATTTTATGGAGAATGTCACTATTCATTTGGTTACTTTCAATTTTAGCGGCGTCTAGTTGGGATAAAAAACTGTTACGTATTGTAAAGTGTGACACTTCAAAGCTAAAATAGATGAGAAAGCTAGATAGACACTAAAACTAGTCCAAAAATGTTTTCTATTTGGAAAGATCTCAAAAACTGGTTGAATTACGGAAAACAAACGCTTTGTAAACAATTTTAAAATATATTTGATAACCCACATTTCTTTATTTATATTTTTTTGACATGAATGTCTGATAAAACCGAAACACTTATATTCTTGAGAATAATATAAAAAAATACTTACGAATTTGAACATTTTAACTAGATTGAAGCGAACTGTCAGCTAAATATTTAACAACAATAAAACAATAGCAACGTTTTAGGTGTTTTAATTTAAAACGACAAGCTCAAGTTATTTTATATATTTGCCCCACTGAATGTTACTAGGGCATGTCCTTTCTTTTATTTTATTTTGTTTCCTTCTCAACTGACAGAATATATGTAACCTATCATTATTATTGAATGATTT